GTACTTATAGGGATATTCTGGGTCCTGTAGAGGCATACTGACAGGAATATTCAAGTACCCATAGTGGTGTACTTATAGGGATATTCTGGGTCCTGTAGTGGCATACTGACAGGAATATTCAAGTACCCATAGTGGTGTACTCATAGGGATATACTGGGTCCTTAAGTGGCATACTGACAGGAATATTCCAGTACCCATAGTGGTGTACTTATAGGGTTATTCTGGGTCCTGTAGTGGCATACTGACAGGAATATTCCAGCACCTATAGTGGTGTACTAAAGGGATATTCTGGGTCCTGTAGTGGCATACTGACAGGAATGTTCCAGTACCCATAGGGGTATACGTATAGGGGTATTCTGGGTCCTGTAGTGAGTGGCATACTGACAGGAATATTCCAGTACCCATAGTGGTGTACTTATAGGGATAATCTGGGTCCTGTAGTGACATACTGACAGGAATATCCCAGCACCCATAGTGGTATACTTATAGGGATAATCTAGGTCCTGTAGTGACATACTGACAGGAATATTCCAGCACCTATAGTGGTGTACTTAAAGGGATATTCTGGGTCCTGTAGTGGCATACTGACAGGAATATTCGAGTACCCATAGTGCAGGACTTATAGGGATATTCTGGGTCCTGTAGTGGCATACTTACAGGAATATTCCAGTACCCATAGTGCTGTACTTATAGGGATATTCTGGGTCCTGTAGTGTCATACTGACAGGAATATTCTAGTACCCATAGTGGAGTACTTATAGGGATATTCTGGGTCCTGTAGGGGCATACTGACAGGAATGTTCCAGTACCCATAGTGGTGTACTTATAGGGATATTCTGGGTCCTGTAGTGGCATACTGACAGGAATATTCTAGTACCCATAGTGCAGTACTTACAGGGATATTCTGGGTTCTGTAGTGAGTGGCATACTGACAGGAATATTCCAGTTCTCATAGTGGTGTACTTATAGGGATATTCTGGGTCCTGTAGTGGCATACTTACAGGAATATTCTAGTACCCATAGTGCAGTACTTATAGGGATATTCTGGGTCCTGTAGTGAGTGGCATACTGACAGGAATATTCCAGTACTCATAGTGGTGTACTTATAGGGATATAATGGGTCCTGTAGTGGCATACTGACAGGAATGTTCCAGTACCCATAGTGGTATACTTATAGGGATATTCTGGGTTCTGTAGTGAGTGGCATACTGACAGGAATATTCCAGTACCCATAGTGCAGTACTTATAGGGATATTCTGGGTCCTGTAGTGAGTGGCATACTGACAGGAATGTTCCAGTACCCATAGTGGTGTACTTATAGGGATATAATGGGTCCTGTAGTGGCATACTGACAGGAATGTTCCAGTACCCATAGTGGTGTACTTATAGGGATATACTGGGTCCTGTAGTGAGTGGCATACTGACAGGAATATTCCAGTACCCATAGTGGTATACTTATAGGGATATACTGGGTCTTGTAGTGGCATACTGACAGGAATATTCTGGACTAGAATTGGCACACTGAAACATTCTGGGTCCTATAGTGGCCTTCTGAGAGGAATACATTTTAGATCCTTCAAATATACATTACAAGGCGGGGTTCCACCGATCAACCCATCTATACAACAACAAGACATTGGCTCTACATTTTTTTATAAATATACATTGCATAACATGTTCTATTCTTGGAAACAAATGCTGAGCTAATGACAGGATGGAAAAAGAAAACATAAACAATTACCTAGTGTTTGAAATAGCATTGAAGTGTTTTGTATTGGTGTGTATTGTAAGTGTACACAAGTGTGATGTACTAGATAAGATAGTACTCAAAGTGTTTATTTTGTAGCAGATAAGTTGTTTACCAGCCTGGAAATCCTGGTGTGACAATCACAATGCATTTCACAATAAATTTTCTCTTCCCATCAAAGCTAACTCATATTTAATACAGGCATTGAACCAAGAAACAAATTGTCTCAATTAAGTTATACATACAAATGACAAGGTGTGTCAAGTGTCTCGAAGATTCAGTAAAGAAATGGGAGATTTTTTTAAAATTTAGAGATGAATGCTCACAGGTGTTGTGGGCGGGCGACCTGTTGTTATGAATGGAAATCACTTCTGTTGGAAGGGGGTGGAAGGATGTTCAGATACATTATTAGCTCACCTGGCCCGAAGGGTCTCAAGTTCCATAAGGCCAAGGGTCATGATATTTGGTCAGTAGGTACCTGGGATGTAGTGCTATAAACTTTCATCATTAAAATGACCTTGACCTATTTTCAAGTTCACAGGGGTCAAATATGTTAAAAATCTCAAACAACAATATCCTAAGAACCATTTGAACTAGAGTCATGGTACTTGGGTATGTTATATAGACCAGCAGTGCAAATCTTTTTCTCAATTACAGTCATGAGGTCAAATGTCAACTTTAAATGCTAGTCGGGGGTCAAATGTCAACTTTGGTTAAAAGCTTTAACAATCTTCTTCTCAAGTTTCATTAGGCCCAGGCTCATGATATTTGGCCAGTAGGTACCTGGGATGGAGTGATAAAAAGTTTCCCCATTAAAATGACCCTGAAATACTTTCAAGGTCACTGGGGTCAAATATGTTAAAAACTTCAAACAACAATATCCTAAGAACCAGTTGGACTAGATTCATAATGTTTGGGTATGTTATGTAGACCAGCAGTGCAAATCTTTTTCTCAATTACAGTAATGAGGTCAATGGTCAACTTTAAGTGCAAGTTGGGGTTAAAGGTCAATATGGGTCAAAGGCTTTAGCAATCATTTTTCAAATTCCAAAAGGCTCAGGGTCATGATATTTGGCCAGTAGGTACCTGGGATGAAGTGCTACAAAAGTTTCTCATTAAAATTACCTTGACCTACTTTTAAGGTCACAGGGGTCAAATATGTTAAAAACTTCAAACAACAATATCCTAAGAACCATTTGGACTAGAGTCATGATACTTGGGTATGTTATGTAGACCAGCTGTGTGAATTGTTTTCTTTATTACAGTAATGAGGTCAATGGTCAACTTTAAGTGCAAGTCGGGAGTCAAAGGTCAAGATGGGTTAAAAGCTTAAAAATTAAAATTTCAAGTTTCAAACAACAAATTTTCAGAACCATTTAAGAGATTTTAAAATGTCTTGTGTTCTAGTTATCAAATGTGGTCTTGAGTTACCTATATGTCAGTTGCATGTAACAAAAGAAACAGGTGAGCGATACAGGCCCTCTGGGCCTTTTGTACTAAAGATGAGAGTTGACTTCTATGGATTGTGTAACATTGACAAGGCATATTTGTTGACATCTCACTGCAGTGTGTTTGTTTACACTGTCATCTCTATCTGTCAATTATATTTGTAGCTATTCATGTTTTATACAGCAAATCCTGTGTATCATCACTTCCCAAGGTAGAGGGTAAACCGTAAATAGACAGATGGTTTTTTATAGACATGTTGTTTTTTAAGGTGTATTATGCTGGTTATTATAAAGAGGTGGTCTTTATAGACAGGTGGGTTTAATGTAGGTCTCACTGTCTTGTCACCAGACTTGGGATGTACATGTAACTTTAAGTAGAGTTTTCTCTTGCTTTATAAATCATATTCTTCCTTATTGCTTTGAATTATGTGCACACAAGTGATTGAAGGTCAAGGCCGTGTGATTTGGTTGAAGGTTTGGTAGATGGGAATCATTTCTATGGGTTCTAGTTTAATACAAGGAAAATAAATGAAAAAGTTGTATTGGTTAAAAGTATAAGAAGTTAATACACAGCTGTTTTTGCATAAGATTGCCACTGATTGGTAAAACTTAACCACCAGGCTAGTGTTTAGACATATTACCGAAACAAATATACTGATTATGTCAAACAATTTGTGTGTACTTTGAATTGTTAAACAAAAGTTTACTCATTAAAATTCTTCTCTGAAGATAATACACACAGGTACCAGTGATACTGTGGTAGAGTATACATACATTCTACTTAACATTGTATAAAGCTTTTCAGTCAGTAAGATAATAGGAAAGAACAAAACACATTTTTATTCAATCTTGACTGTATTATCTATCACTTATTATTTATTTTCATAGCACCTCCTTTTTAAACATAGAGGTTTGTGAATACTGTGACAGTTCTACAAGAGTTGTATACCCTTGTACATGCAACTCGCTAAGGAAGGGGCATAACTGTGTCGGCTATGTTGTATTAGGTTTGGTCAGTGTTGTCTCCCTTGTACTCTTGTGACAAAATTATTTACATCACATATCTATTAATTATCATGCCTAATATGATAAAGTGCAGTACCTTAAGGAACAAACAAACACATTGTATGAAGCATGCTAGCTCCTCATTATCTTGTTAGCTAGTATTATAATCTTCATTCCTTTTACTTTTACAGTTTTAGGATCATCTCCATATTGAAATAATAACAGTCATCAGGGATTACTTATGTGAAACAAAGTCTTCATATCATGAATGTTTGTCCTATAAAAAACAGCCCCTGACCAGTACCAGCCAGCCAGCCAGCCAGCCCCGTTAAACTCATGACATCACAATCACCAGAATCCAAATCTCATTGCATTCATTGTGCTATGAATGCAATGAGATTTTTTTTAACTTTTATAAGACAATAAGAGTACATGTATATATATATATAAGTATATTTATCTCATGCCTGATTCTTCAGAAATAATATATTTGCTTCACACATACTCTGGAGAATAGTTATAATCTTTATTTATGCATTATTTTGTTCTTATAGCTACAGAAAGTTTAAAAAACTAACTTGAAATGTGACATTTTGAATTGAATACAATGTGCTGTACTGTATAAAGATTCAATATACGACTTATTCTAGTAAACACTTGTTTTTGACCACCACAGGTCACTTGTTCTGTTAGAAGTCAAACAAATTAAAAACGACACTATATTTATATATATAGTTACTGTACAACTAAAAATTAACAAAACAAAAAAAATGGATTAATTATCGCAACATATACACTACCTGATCTGATGAGCTGATGTCGCCAATGAACTTCTTCTGGAACATATAAGATGTTTTTGACCACTGACCATTTTCCCATCCCTTGCCTGGTAGTGGTCAGTACATGTACCTTTCCATATGGTGCTCTGTGCCAATGGATGTCCGGCTCCAGACGCGATGTTTTGTCCAGGTGCTAACACCAGCTATCGTGTCTACAATGGCACTGTATATGACTTCCTATAAACAATGTGGGGTTTATCACAATGTTTTATGTATTTCTCCCTAAAGTATTGGCACTGCTTCCTTAAAGTACTGGCACTGCAGGGGACTTCAGTGTAAGTATTGGTAATACATCACCGTCATACCTGTTAATGCTGTTCCTACACAGTGACAGTATCCAGGTGGTACTTAGTCGCACAGCACCACGGGCGGTTCCTTGCTACCTACCTCAGAGTAACTCTGAGATTATCTGTACGCTCCAGTGCTGTGTGGATGGGAGCAGTCAGTGTTGTTGAGTAGCGGGCTGTAGTCAGTGGCAGGGTTGGTACCACACTAATGCTATGGTATTCTACAGAGTAGAGTGAGTGGGGTGAGAGATGCTCCATCGGCAGTACTTCATATCTACAGGGGACTTGGCTGTATACTTCCTGTGACCAGGAAGGCTCCTTTAGTATGGAACTAAAGGCAAACTATGAGTTTTTGAAAATTCCTCTCTGAAAAGTTGTGTGGTAACTTTTCGATGGGGAATGCTAGTTCAAGGAATTCAGGGACATGTGCCTGTATCTCGCCTAGCAGACGGAAATCTCATCCTAAACACTATCACATTGACAAATTCAGGTAAGTTTACCGTTAACACTATCACATTGACAAATTCAGGTAAATTGACAAATTCAGCTTGATGCTAACCCTGAACACCATTATCAAACTGACAAATGCAGGTAAGCTCAAACCTTTAACACTAAGGAATAGACAAATTCAGGTAACATTTACCGTAAACACTAATGGATAGACAAATTCAGGTAACATTTACCGTAAACACTAATGGATAGACAAATTCAGGTAACATTTACCGTAAACACTAATGGATAGACAAATTCAGGTAACATTTACCGTAAACACTAATGGATAGACAAATTCAGGTAACATTTACCGTAAACACTAATGGATAGACAAATTCAGGTAACATTTACCGTAAACACTAATGGATAGACAAATTCAGGTAACATTTACCGTAAACACTAATGGATAGACAAATTCAGGTAACATTTACCGTAAACACTAATGGATAGACAAATTCAGGTAACATTTACCGTAAACACTAATGGATAGACAAATTCAGGTAACATTTACCGTAAACACTAATGGATAGACAAATTCAGGTAACATTTACTGTAAATACTAATGGATAGACAAATTCAGGTAACATTTACCTTAAACACTAATGGATAGACAAATTCAGGTAACATTTACCGTAAAATAAAGATTTTCTGTAAAATACCATGCGATTGACTAAGCGCAAATTCAGGTAACTTTACCTTAAATACAGAGGGATTGACAGTAACTTTACCCTGAACACTTATAGAGTGACAGGTCAGGTAACCTTTAACCTACAGTTTTATGAGAAGTTCTTTTTACACAACCAATACAATTTTCTATGTGACGTTTCGATGACTAGTACGATATATACACTGTCACCTTCATCAGACAAATGACCAATGAAGCGTATGACACAAAGGTGTAAAATGTGTACGAGTTGTCCATAAAATCGATGTCGATTTTGGCTACGCTGGAAACATATGTAAAGATAGTTGTTACATATGTACGGAAATGACTCAATTCAGCTACGCTATGTTAACACTTCGTCATAGATGTGTGAGAGTCTTTGAACCCCCTCGTCTCGATTTAGAACTGGCCCACTGCGGCGTATCCAGATGGCTTCCTTTATCTGCCGCTTGAACAGATTGTTCTCTCTGTCCAAAATTTTGGAGTTGTCGCAGTCAATCACATGGTTATGTTAACCTCCTAAACATCAACAAGGTATATAGTTTTTAGGTCCCCTGAGACAAAGTCTCAAGTGACCTAATGCGATCGCCTTTTGTACGTCGTCGTCCGTCGTCCGTCGTCCGTCCGTAAACAATTTACATTTTCGACTTCTTCTCCAAAACCCCTGAACCAATTTCAATGAAATTTTGCAGGGACCTTCCATGGACAAAGGTCAACAAAAAGAGTTGCCGGTTTAGTCCTAAGCCCCCAGGGGCCTGAGGGGCGGGGCCAAAAAGGGTCAAATTGACTAAAATTTCAAAAATCTTCTTCTC